AGCAGCACCACCAGCAGCCGCCGCAGCCGGTGCAGCAGCCGCAGCCGCAGCCGCAGCCGGCCTCTCCTCACCTGTTGTGCGCCTCCCAGATTAAGGTAGAGACTAGTCAGCAGCTGATTGGTGCAAAGCCCAGCCAATCACAGCCTCAGGTTCAGATTCAGTACTCAACCTCCATCAGCACTAACGGCTCTGGCTCTCAGCATGCACTGGTTCCCCATCAAGCTCCGCCCACATCTCAGCCGCGGCCTAATGGAGTGATGATGGAGGACATTAAGGGGATGGAAGGGAAGAGGAGACCAGGAGGGTCAGTTTGTGTGTGTTTTTGTTGAGGCTGATAGATAAGAGTGTAGTGTTTTATAGCTCTGTCTGATCGTATCTGATCATGTGTTTTGTGTTTTGTGTTTCCAGAGCGGGGACCAGAGAGGTGCACAATAAACTGGAGAAGAACAGGTGAGTCATAATAAGCTGAACGTCTTGTTGCCGTTTGTGTTAACTCATCAGGAAGTTCAACAGTCCAAAGGTCATTTCCTCAACATATACAAAACCATGAAATCCTTCTCAAGCATGAAAATTGGAGTTATAAAGTCTCTTTAAATGACAACAGCTTGGTTAACCTCTCAAGCAAATGATCGACTTACTTATAAATGATGAATATTCTACATGAAGACACTACGCTAATGACAGCCATATCAAAAGTGTGACTCTTTCTCGTTTCTGACTCTTGGCCCTTCAGGCGAGCGCACCTCAAAGAGTGTTTTGAGACGCTGAAGAAGAACGTTCCAAATGTTGATGAGAAGAAAACCTCCAACCTCAGCGTTCTGCGCAGCGCTTTGCGTTACATACAGGTAGAGTTTGAACATATTTTCCCAGCTTTCCCAGCACAGTGGGACTGTAAGCCTTTACATATTGGTGTGGTCTGACAATATTTTGGGTCTTGTTTTTCATCGTATTGTTTTCAGCTTTCTCTAGTTTTTAATTGATTGGTTCGACTGTGGGAACAGCACAGGCTTTGGTCCAGTGTAATTGATATACAATGCCTGTTTTGTTAGCCATTAAGCCATTTTGTGTTGGTTAGTCTCTTGTGACTATGATATGGCATCTGCCAAATACTGGTGAATCAGCCTGTAAGAAGGTGGTGAATAAATCCAATGTTTCCTGAGTCTATAATACATTGTATTGGCTATTTCTTTATAACACACTCAGTTAACTTTTTTTTTGTAGAACATTAGTTTGTGTTTGAAGTGTTTCAGTGAGATTCTTATCCAGTAGAAATGTTGTGTAACTCCATCCTGCTGTCGTGTAGTGTCATTCAGTATGAAACAGAAAAAGAACTGGTTGTTCTGAGAGCTAAATACCTGGAAAGGATGAAGGAATTACATTTTTTGTGAGAAGAGATTTGTAGCATATTGCAGTTGTGTAGTGAACTAACATTGCATTGCTGAAGGTGGTGTGGGGGTGGAGGGGTGGAGGGGGGGACCGAATAGCCTGAAGAGGTGAGTTTTCAGTCTACAAAAGTAGACGAGGGAGGATTCCTGCACTGTGGCAGCCTGCAGCTAGATTCAGTGGTTCCTTTTTTGTGGAGTAGAAGATTTATGAGACTGAGTTCAATGGAATATGCGACGGGGACTTAGTGGAAGGAGCTAAATTAGGCCATGAGATGGAAGAACCTGGGCCAGCCTTCAGGGAACGTACCACGGGGAGATTTGTCTCTTTGACAGGAGATGGTGATGGTTTTGATATGAGGCAGAGCCAAGCTGCTGGTGAGGAAATCCATACTGTGCAGCTCAAGTTTTCATGTTTTAAAAGCAATGTAGGTCATTTACCAGCCACACAAACAAATAACAGTGTATGTAATGGTAGTAGCTACTAGGGCTGAAACATTATTTATATGATTGTAAATTCAATATTTTTAGATTTTGGACTGTTGGTGCTATTTCCTGTTTTTTTTTATAGAATAAAAATGTATTGATTATTAAAAAACACAATCAGTGGAATAAGTGATTGTACAAATAGTCCCACAGCTACCAGTAGATACTTCATATTTTCCTGCAGCCCACACTGTTATGCAGACTGCAGAGACTGATTAATATAGGGCAATAACAATCACATTATGTAGTAGGAATATTTTTCCATATCACAATATGAGTAGTATATGGAAAACCACACATAAAATGATAAAAACTAATGTTAAACCCAATGAATTACTTCACTCCTATGCATAATGAAACGTCAGACGTGTAAAACCTAAACTAAGATAAAATAACATGATTCCACAGAACAGTAATATTTAATATATTTCCCATTTACCAATGTAATCTAATACAGCTGCACAATTAAAGCCCGTATTAAATGTCCAACAGCTACTCAATGTTCCTAGTTTGGCACCTTCTCCTCTGATCTATAAAATAATCAGTAGGTTTTTCTTGTAGACGACAGACTCGCCCCTTCTTCTTTCCCCCCACCTCCTCTCTCGGTACATCTCCTCCATGCAAATCTGTAAACCTCACTCAGTCTCCCTCTCCCCGAGCCATGTGAAATCTGAGCACATGGCTAGAGCAAGCCCGATGACGTCACCGCAGCTCACCCACTCCGATCTGCTCTGCACCGCTAGATTGCAGAGACGCCGTCCGTGCCGGGCGCACTAACGGAGCGATGCAGCAGTGTCTCCGAGGTTATAAACAGTGCAATTGGTGCAGACTTGCAACAATTTTAACCTCTGTCTGTCTCAACCTTTTCTTCCCTCTCGCGTTCAGAACGCTCAGTAACCATAGCAACGGGCGGCAGGTGGCCTGGGCACTGTAGTCAGTCCGTTCCTTCATGTTTGTCTGCATGGAAGAGTGTGTGTGTGTGTGT